CAGAGATTCAATCTGTCTGGACCTCAGGTTCTTCATCTGTAAAACGAGGATCATGATACCGATCACTCAGGGAGGTTGAAAGGATCAAATGGAGTGATGCTGGTAACAAGGCCTGGCATATGGTAAATACTCACAGAGGGAAGATTAGTATTCTGATTGTTTTCAAATAAGAAGAGTGTGTTTTGCTGGGGAAAGATTCTACTTGACTAATCACAAGAAGTTTCTTTCTTCCTCCATGAGGGTGCCACTTGGCATCCTGGGTAAGGTTTCAAATCCAAAGTCACGTCACTCAGATCCTGCTGTCACTGCCAGGAAGTGCCAGGAGGTTCGGCGATTGATTGAATTCTCTCAGCCTCCATTCCCTCATCTATTAAACAGAGTCGGTGAGCAGAGGGCTGTTGTGAGGAATTAAAGACAGGTGCCTGGCACGTAGTACGAGTTCAAGAAATGAATTGCAGAGCATGGGGGAGGTCATTTCCACTGGCAGGAGCTGCATATCCTGCTGCTGTTGTAGTGAGTACAAATCTCTGTCCAAAGACCCCAAGGAGCAACGAATGTGCATTTCTTTGCTTTCCTATAATTTGATTTTTATTCTCTGCCCTGCTTTGCAGAGATGGCAGAAATCGAATCCTATCACCCCAGGCTCTGATGCTCCTCTTTTGACTGGTTCAGGGGACGAGGTGCTTACAGAGGCAGTGGGGTGGGGCATGTGGGTACCTGGTCCTTGGTGGTGGTCTGCCTGCGCTGACATCTGCTGGGATATTCCCAACCCCCGTGGTCTCATGCTGGTGCACACTGCCAGAACAGCCACCTCTCTCGTTCCCAGTTACAGGGTCTCTCAGCTGTGTAGGCACTCAGGACCTTGTTCATGACTCTTGGGCGGTGTGTGGGAAACCCTCTAAGGCCGCGAGACCACATGATGGCCTGGAGATCTTTGGGCTGTCTTGGGTCTGCCTGCCCCTTCATCGTGGGCAGGGGAGACTCTGGGGTCCTGCTACTTCCCCAGGGTTTATCCAGAACAAGGACACAGCTCCCTCTCTTCTTGAATCCCCCTTGCCACATTGCCCCCTTTCTCGTTCCGATGCCCTTGACCTGCCTGGCATGGTAGCTTTCGTCCATCTTCCAAATGCATTCAGTGCCCCGAGTCATCTGCAGCCTGACACCCAGGCTCTCAGAACTCCACAGACATGCACATGTCTTACCTCTGCTTTGTGCCTTGTGTCATCCCTTCTCAAATGCAATGCATGCCTCTGACTGCGGAAGGAAAACAGGATGGGCCAGGAAACTCGGTTGGTAGTTCATTCTACTTTTCCACCACACTGTGTTTTTATCAGATATACAGAGAAAGACAAATTAGGAAGTACATAGAAATTGGGGGCGGGGTGGGTATGTGGAAACTTGCCAGGCTTGAGAATATTTTTGATGCGACCCTGGCCCTCCAAGTGCTCTGAGCCCTTCCCTCTTGGGGTCCTGGGGAACTCCTTCCCTGAGCCTGGAAACACACCTTCTGGAAGATTCTATTCTGTTTGCAGTAAGGATGGTGCCTTCTGCCCAGCCTGCCTCTGCTGCAGCCACCATCCCCATGCAGGGGGACCCCCTTGACCTCTTGTCTTTCTTGGTCCCGCCTCATTAGCACCCCTATTGAGCATGCTCCAGTGTGCACCAGCCAGGCCGCCACCCCGCTGCTGCCCGCTTCTGCCCAGCCACCTGCTGCTGCCCCTCCCAGTGCAGCATCACCACCCCTGACCGCAGCCACTGCCCATGCTGCCACCGCCTCTGCCGCAGCCCCTGCCTCAAGCCCCGCGGACAGTCCAAGGTAACTGGCCCACAGGTGCCGGCCCTGACCTCAGGCAAGGGAGGCAGGAACGGCCTCGGCCTGGGTTCACCTGTTGACAACTGTGTCCAGCCCTCGGAAAGGCCCGTCCAAGGTGGTTGGGACCCCGGGGTCCTTGGGAAGCCAAGCCTAGCACTGCCTGGTGTTGAGAGTGAAGGGGAGACTGGGGGTCACTGCAGGGGAGCACACTGTGCGGCTCAGGACCGACATAGGGACGTGCTGCCCTGCCCCCCAGTACATGTTCTGAGATAGATGTAAAAGTCTCTCTCTCTCATGCGCCCCCCCCCCCACACACACACAGAGTTAGATAACAAAGACCTGGAACTGAGATAAAGGAGGAGAATGGAAATTGTCCCTGTGGTCTGGGGAAGTCAGGAAGGCTCTCTGGAGGAGGGAGCAGAGACAGTGTTGACCTGGGCATGTCAGGCCTGTCAGATTTGGGCAGATATTTAGCGACGAACTTGCCCTCTCCCTTTACCCTCTCTTCTCTCTTGATAGAGAGCACACTACCCCCAGAGGTACCCCATGTCATGGGACTTAAATCTCTGCTCCACCACTTACTCTCTATAATCCACAGACAGTGACTTAATTTCTCTGAAGCTCAGTTTCTCCTCTGCTAAGATGTTTAATGCAACATCTATTTTTGAGGGTTGGGACAGAAAAAAGTGTGCATAAATCACCTAGCACATAAAATGCTCTCAAGTATTATGAGTTACTGCATTTCAATCTACCTCCTGGATACCCAGCAAAGGCAGGGGTGGGGAAGGGGGGAATGGGAGGTTGTAGTTTGCAAAGGGTGCAGAGGGGTGTGGGGAGGTGGACAGGGCAGGCTGGATGAGTCATTCCAGAATGGCCAGGCAGTGTAACGGCCAGACAGGCCCAGCTCTTTCTGGGCTGCATGGAGTTGTCAAGTTGGTGTTTGGGGTCAGAGCCAGCTTTCCCAGTTTCCCATGCTCCCTTCCCAGGGTTTTGCTGGAAAGGTCATGCCTCTCTGGGTCAGGGTTCAAAGGACAGAGGGTGGGCAGAGTGGCCTGCAGACCTGTGTGCTGCCCCCCTGCCCCCAGGCTTCATAGGGACCTAGGTGATGTCAAGGCCAGGCTTTGCCCAGCCCAACTCAAGCCTCAAGGGTGAGCCCAGTCTGGACCTCCAGGGGTTGTTTTATTCCAGCTTCCTGGGGTCACTTAGCAAGTTGCTTCCCCTCTGCACACGAGAGTCTCTTCAGGTAAGGGCACAAAGAAACTTTGAAGAGGGTAAGAAATGTCTCTGTTGTTAAGTGGGGAGATGCCTCTCAAGTTGGATGGCGAAGCTCCAGACGCTGGGGCCTTGCTCAAGGGTAAGCTCCAGCACTGTGCTTCAGGCCTCTGTGTCTTCAGTGTCCTGGGGCCCTCAGGAGCCCCTCAACGGAGCAAACCGTTCCTTCCTTTGCCTTGCAAAGGGAGATGAGGGCTGGGTGGAGGTTGGAGAGACACCTGGAGGGGTCCTAGCACCAGGCCAGAGCAGAAAGGACCAGGGAACCACACCCTGGGCCCAGATACCTCCCCTTCTCACACAAGGCTAGATGGAGCTAGAGGGAGCCAGTGGGAGGCAAATGGACACCCCAGCCTTTCTTGGCATGGCCTCGGAATTCTTGCCGAGTGTCTTAAATCTCTGCTTCCTCCCCCAATGCCAATCCCTGACACAGGCTCTTTAGCTCCTGGGATGCTGGGAAAGCTTTCTCCACAGCTGGGAGAGCCTGGCTAAGCCCCACTGACCCTCAGCCTTCCACCACAGAGGAAGCTGGACACCCCTGGACACTCCCTCTTCCATTAAGGCCCCTACTCCACTGTGGTTTATCAGAGCAGGGCAGGCCGACCCAGGGAGGGGAGACAATGCCTCACCCCATCAGGAACATGGTAACTTGGCACGTTAAGTCTGCACACCCCCTGCGTCTGGGACACTGGCTGTCTGAGGCTCATTCTACCTCCATACCATCTGGGCAGCACTGCACACGCTTCTGGGTCTGCTCAGGAGCTTGGCAGTGTGGTGGGTTCTTAGCTCAGGGCCACCCCCTCCCAGAGCCCTGAAGAAGAAGGTGCTTCCTTATCCTTGGACTCTGCCCAGCACCTGGGCCCGGGGGGAACAGTTGGAAGGAAGGCAGGAAGCCATGGGCTGGGGGCGGGTCATATATTAGCAGGGGCTCACTTCTCTAGCATCCCCATCAATGACCCATTTGCCCTGGGTATGGACATGTGGTCCCCAAGGGGATCTGCAAGATGTCGGGAGAGACCAAGGATGTGTTCAGTAAGGTGTTCTTCAGTTTTAAGTGGAAAAAAAAGGGGGGGGTTGTTCACTGACAAATGAAACTGGGAAACACTGAATGAGGCAAAGTTGAACGTGCTGCTTAACTCCAGTTCTTAGAGCCTTTAGTTCTCCAAGGGGAGAGGCCAAGGATGGCATTTCCTGAGGGCAATGAACTGGGGCACTTTCCCCCCATCACTGATGTCCCATGGTTCCTGGGTCACAAGTGGGAAAAGGCTGCTCTAGGCCTCTTGGCTGCTAACTCAGCGGAAGAGGGCGCAGAGAAGCCTGTGTGTGTGTGTGTGTGTGTGTGTGTGTGTGTGTGTGTGTTGGGGGGGGTGTCTCCTGGCTTCCCATGAGCCCTCCCTGGAGCACCCAGAAACCTGAGACTTGGCAGCTCCCTCCAGCAACGTAGGAAGGGGAATGGGAAGGAGGCCAGTGGTCTGAGGCTGTGCCCCAGAAGGTCAGAAGGTTTAGGGAGACGGGTAGCTCTGACCACCTCCATCTGTCTCCTCTCTCCTGCTACTTCCCCCTCCAGCCCCAGCCCCACCCTGGCAATCTCTCTCTGGGGAGTGAAGGGTTTTCTGTGTGTCTTTCTGGCTGGCTGGTGATTTTTCTCCCTCTCTCCTAAGGTGGTGGCATCAGCAATGGGCTGTATTGCTCTAACCAGGCTCACAAAGACTCAGCCCCCCAGAAGCAGCTTCTTCCCCTCAAAGACCACCATGGTCTTTCCTTCACAGCCTCTGGCAAACCCCTAGGACTATCTCTGTCAGGTTTCCTCCTCACAGAGGCTTCTGAAGATCCGGGAGCCAGCCTGCCGGGACTGCAGGCCCCAGGGCCTGGGTGGGGCTGTTCTTCTGGCTGCTAACTCCTCCCCCCTTGGTTCCAGGCCCCAGGCCTCTGCCTACAGTCCCGCCAAGGCGACCTCTCCAGCACCTGCCACTCATACATACAGTGAGGCCTCAGCTGCCCCTGCGCCCAAGCCCCGGGTTGTCACCACCGCCAGCATCCGGCCTTCTGTCTACCAGCCAGGTGAGAGGCAGAACGGAGGGGAGGCTGTCAGGCTGGACATGGCTTCTAGGCCACATCCCGAAAAGGTTGGTGGCCAGTGAGACCCTGCTAACGAGGCTCAGCCCTCCTTCCTCCAAATGTGGGCCAGAATCCTATGGAGCCTGCCTCTGGCCCTGGGGAGACAGGTGAGCGGTGCCAGGCAGGAATGGAGCCACCCAGCTCTTAGGAAGATCCTGTTCCTGGCTGAGGATTTCCAGGCTCAAGGTGAAGGAAGAAAGGGTTTAGAGGAGGAGCTTGTTTCTCCAGGAGTCTGGGTCTGCCTCAAGCTGGAAGACAGGTAGGTGTAATGAAAACACCATAGCCTTTGGACAGACCTCCTGCATCATGCTGTGACCCTGGGCAACCTGCTCATCCTGTCTGGTCTTTGGTTTCCTCAGCTGAGGCAGGATAATGGAGGCCCAGAGAGCACACGTGACCAGCAACAGAATGGCCAGCACAGGGTCAGCCGGTGGCTGAGCTCACTTGGCTGTCTGTTCCATTGCTCTGGTCCCCATTCTCAACACTGCCCCCGGCCCCTCCACAGGGATGAGGACTCAGCCCCATGTCCCCTCTTTCCTAGTGAAGTCTGGCCTGCTCCTCAGAGCCTGAGGGCAATTTTCAGTTACCTCGCCCTCCCTTGCCTGCCCCCTGCACAGTGAAGCCGAGGGCTCTTTAGCCAGTATTTTCCCAGGCTGGGGGAAGGTCCTGTGTGCCCTGGTCTAGTGGATATGTCCAGAGGAGGGCTCTGGGCATCTATAGTCGTCCAGGGCTGATCACCATCCCCTCCTTCCCACTGGATTCTGACCCTGAACTCCAGGAGGGCAGGGCTGTGGCAGATTTTCTTCACTGGCTCCCCAGCCCCTGACTCAGGCCTGGCACCAAGGAGGTGCTCAGCAAAGGTAGTGGTTGAAGGAATAAATGAATGAATGAATGCTGGTAAGGAACTCAAGTTGGGGGTAAAGAATGGCATGGGGAGAGGCTGTGAAATGCGCACTCTGGTGGCTGAACACACAGGGGTCATGGGTCACAAGTGTTCCCAGAGGGGACCCATGCAAGTTCCATGGGTGGCTGAGATAGGATTTTAGGTGGGCACACACTTTTCATTTAAAGCATATTTCTCTTCACAGCCATCTTGACTATAGAAATTCTAGCAATAATGACATTTTCCACTTGGAGTAGTATCCAAATTGTTCTCCACCCCCCTCCCAAATGGTTACACACACACACACACACACACACAGACACCACTTTCACACATGGTAACAGTGATGAGGTGAAGAAGTTAAGGACTTGTTCAGGAAAGAATGGGGTAGCTAACTCTAAGGGGACAGGGAGGGGGCTTCTCAATATCACGCCAGAAAGGGAGAGTTGGTCAAGAAGTCGTAAGGTCGAGGGCAGACTCAGGAGCATACCCTGTTTTTGTTTTTTGGTTTTAAAGATTTTATTTATTTATTTGACGAGAGACACAGCAAGAGAGAGAACACAAGTGGGGGGGGGGAGAGGGAGAAGCAGACTCCCCTGCCGAGCAGGAAGCCCGATGCCGGGCTCCATCCCAGGACCCTGGGATCATGATCTGAGCAGACGCCTAACGACTGAGCCACCCAGGCGCCCCAGGAGCATATCCTGTTAGGGAAAAGGAGAGACCCCAGAGAGGATCCTCGATGAAGCCGGAGAGCAGGGGAGGTCAGACAGGGACTGCGCCGGAAGGGCCTTGCTCTGGGGAGCCTGACTTGACGCGCAAGGCCGAGGAGCCATGATGAGCCCTCCTAGTCTAGAACTCTCTCTGCCCGCGGTGTTGAGCGTGGGCGGTAGAAGCGGCTTCAGCATCAGACAGGCTCCTGTGCGGGGCTCTGCTCCGCCTCCCCCAAGGCAAAGCACTTCGTCTCGGCTGCCTGAATTCCCTGCTCTGAAAAATGGGCACGAAGCTATGTAGACCTCGTGTTCTGGGGACGAAATGAAGCACCCAGCCGAGTACTTGGCACACAGGAGGCGCCCTTCCCTGTCCTTCCAGGGGCAGGGACACAAAGTTCTGAGGTTAGAGCCACAGGATTAGGGAGCAATTCGGAGCTGGCTGCAGTGGTGAAACATCTCCGAGGGAGCTGGAGGACGCGGCTGCCCAGCGGACACGGGGACCACTGCGGGGAGGGCGGAAAGGAACCCGGCTGAGGCGAGGCGCACTCTCCGCGCCCGGAGCGCATTTCCGGCCCGGCCCGGGCTCCCTTCCCAGGCGGGTCCTCCTGGGCACCTTCCGGGGCGGACCCCGGGGCTCCGGCTCTCCCCCGCAGGCCCGCCAGGGGGCGGCACGGCTCCGGGGGCCCGCGCCCGCCTGGCCCGCCCAGCGCCCCCTCACCTCCTTGCCGGGCTGGGGCCCAGGCGGGCGAGACGTGCTGGAGCCCCGGGCCGGCGGGCCTCCCTCCGCGGCGTTCCCAGGCGGTGCAGACGTTAACTCATGCCTGCCCGCAGGGAAGGAGGCGGCCGGCCTCCGCCCCTCTCCCGGGGAGGCCGGGCGGCTGGCAGGCGGCCCGGGGAGAAGCGGGGAACGCGCGCCCGAGCCGCTCCCGTCCTCCGCTGACCCAGGCCGGGCCGCAGCTCCCCGCGGGATTCCTCTGGGCCGAGGGTGGCGTTCGCAGCCCGGCTCTCATCGCTGGCGCCCGGGCTGGGCGGCCGCTCCCCGGAGCACCTGGGGCCGGGGAGGCGGCCGGGTCGGCCTCGCGTGGGCAGGGGGGAGGCCACGTCGGCCCGCGGGCCGGGCGGGGGCCGGCGCTCGTGGGGAGCCAGGCCCGACCTGGGATGAGTCAGAAATCACCTTGTTTAATTACACATTCCCGAGGCCGCCGAGTGCGATAGGGGCCTTTTGAACTTGCCAATTAGAGATGAAATATCACCTTCTAATTTAGACGGGCTTAATTCCGTCAAGCAGAAATAGCAACAGCCCCGGGCTCGGAGATGGGATATCAAGTCTCCTTTCTGGCACGTCTGGGGTGGCGCGGCCAGAGCCAGGAGGAAGGGCGCAGAGGCAAGGGGACTGGGAAGCAGCCGCTCCTCGCGCTCCCACCCTCACCCCCGTAGAGTGGGGGGACGCGATGCGGAGTGGGGAGCTGCCGGCCTGCGCCTCGAGGAACGGAAGGCCCCTAGGGCAGCCCACCGGGCTCCGGATTCCCGCATGCTTCTGACCTGCAGACGCTTTCGCGGGGGCTTAGAAGAGGGGACTGGATCAGGGAGTCTGGAAGGCCTTCCGGAGGAAGGAAGAGAACGTCTGCCAGGCAGAAAGAATAGGGTTTGCGCTGCTGGAGGGAAGCAGGAAAAGTGGGCAAGGGCCCGAGTTGGAAGGGGCGTGCTAAAAGCCTGTTTTGCTGCCTAGGGAGTGGTTAAGCAGGGGATCTGGAGTTGAGTCCCACTGCCCGAGCTCCCCAACTTTCCAGTAGTCACTTAGACTCACCAAGCTTCAGTTCTCCAACTGTAAAGTGGACTAGAAAATATTCTCTGCCTCACTGGATTGCAGTGAGTATTACATGAAATAATACACGTAAAGGGCCTCGCCTGTGGAAGCCAGTCAGTCTTAGGTAGCCACTGTGCTGATGAGGGCAGCACTGTCCAATAAAAATAAATTTTCTAGTTAACCACATTTTTTTAAGGAAGAGGAAGCAGGTGAGATTAATGTTACCATATTTTATTTGACTCAGTATATTCAAAGCATCATTTCAATATATAGTCAATATAAAATAATGATTAATGAGATATTTATATTCCTTTCTTGTGCTAAGCCCTGGAATCTAGTGTGTATGTTACATTGATAGCACTTCTCAATTTCTATTAGCCACATTTCAAGTGTTTACTGGCCACCTAGGGCTGTGCACTGGCACAGGATTGGGGCTTTGTTCTTAATCCCTTTCAGCAGAGAGTCCCCACTTTACCAAAAAAAAAGGGTGGGGGACAAAATGTTGCTTAGAACCCCATTGTGTATGAGAGGGATGAAGCTGCTCTGAAGTTCTGCTAGATCACCTCTCCCCACACCCCCTCCCTGGTGGCATTCCCCTCATCACCCCTGCCCCAGCACTTTGAGACCCTCTGCTCTGGGCACTTGGCTGCTAGGCAAGGTTGTTAGGAAGGGTGGCAACACTTGGAATCTGGGCTTCACAAATTTGCACAGTGCATGCATCATGTCACCCCAGTAGGTCCCCACCACTCTTTGAGGCAGGCAGGGGCATCATACTTTCTACCACTGGTGATAGACTCAGTCCCAAGTTATCTGATTTCAGGGTGTCACATCTCCCATCCCCACCCCCAACATCCCACAGTCTCCCTGGATGGGTTCCCTCAGGTGACCATCAGGCAGTAAGATGAGCTGACAGTTCACCCAGACCCTGAGACCCAGAAGTCACCATCCTCACTAACGTGAAATGATGCATACACTGTACCAGGCCCTAGGATAAGCACTTTATATTTCTTGTCTCCTTGAAACCTCATAACCAACCTGTGAGGCACTAAGAATTATTAATGCCATCTTTAAAAAAGGACATTCAGGCCCAAAGACATTAAGCAGCTTGCCCAAGGACACACAGCCAGGATGTAGTAGTGCTGGGACCTGAACCTAGGGCTCTTGATGGCTGTGCTACATGCCAGAGCATGGGACCTCCTCCAAGTTTATAGTTATTCCTCAATGACATGGTGTGCCAAGATTTTCTGGAAATTAGACTTATATTCTTTACAGAGGCAGCTTGGGGTAATAGAATAGTTTTGGAGACTCACTCTGCCACTTACTGTGTCTGAGCCTCAGTGACTTCAACTGTAAAGGGGACCAAACCAGATGATTTGTTATGTGCCAAGCCTACTCCCTTAGTAAGTGGGAAGAAGATTGATTCCTCATGGAGAGAGTTTTACTTTTAGAAGCCAGCACCACTCCCAACATGGCTCCAAGACAGGGCCGTGGCGGATTTTACCCCTTCAGCTTTTGATAACACAGGCCTGGTGCCCACCCACCCACAGTACTGGGGTTCCTGTGTTACCCAGCTCTGAAGGGCCAGTCATCTTGGAGTAGAACAATACGATTGGAACAGCAGGCCACAGGCCACCAAAGGTGGTCCAGGAGAACCAGGTGGGAGAGACCAGAGGCCAGGTGGGGAACTTTAGCCCTGAGCAAGACCTTCCTTTCCAGGCTGGAAACTGAGGGGGGCTGTCTCAGGACCCCTCAGCACAGTCCATCCACCTAGGCAAGCTCAGGAATGGAGGGAGTTTGCCCCAACATGCTTCCCAGGATGGGAGGAATGAGGCCTCTTTCCAGAGGCACAGACTGTGAGTTGAGGTGAGGCTTCTGGAACCTCCCTGGCTGGAAGATGAAGCTGGCTGGAATGTGTGCAGGCTCCACAATGGGAGGCAGCAGAACTTAGAAACCTAGGTTTTGAGGGCCCAGGCCTCAGAGGGCTATGGGTGAGCAGCTGCAGTGCTCCTTTGTGTTGTCACCCCAAAAGGTTTTTTAGCTCGGGGATACTTGATACTTGGAGGTAGGGGTTCCAGAAGTGAGGCAGTACATTCTCCTGCACTCTTTCATGGTAATTTCACACGCACTCAGACATACTCTGTTTCTCCCAAAGTGGTGTAGGCGAGCATTTGTCTCCTAGAGGCAGCCACAGACTGAGCGAGCAGCTAGACCTGGGCTGTGTCACCCCAGCATCTCTGCCCAGGCTCCCTCTGAATGGCTCTCTCAAGACCCCCACCCCAATCAAACCAAGGTGAAATTTCCCCCAATATAAATCAAGCTGAAGTGTTTTTTGAGAAAATGGTTGTAGCTAAACATTTCATGTTTAGCTACTGAACCTGAAAACCCAGCTGCCCTATCATCTACTTTGTCCCAAAGGCTGGGCTAGGTCCAGGTTCAGCAAACACATGTGATTGAAGCATTTCAGATGTCAAATCCCTGGTCAGAGTGCAACTGAAAGCATCTTCCAGTCAAGGCCAAGTTGACCCACTCCCACCCCCTTCCCGGCCCAGGGGACCCAGATATGAGGCTTGCCTGGCATGCCCACCCCCATTCCCTGTCTTCTGCAGGCTTCTGGAAGCCAAGGCCTGGCCGAGCCCCACCCCACACAGCTGCAGATATTTATAGCTATGTCCCTTTCCCAGCCTTGTTCAAGCTCCCGAGGGCTCTGCTCTGGTTGCTCTTTATCTCCCTTGGCTCCCTGCTGCAAATTCAAATCTGGGGCATCAAGAAGTTCAGGAACGCGTCCTCCATAAAAATTGGAATTGTACCGCTCTAATATTAAAGTCACCTTTTAGAGTTTTCTGGCTGGGGTGGGGCAAGTTGGGGGAAATGAATTCCTGATACATTTTTCTTTGGCTATTTTTGGCTTGCAGTGCCTGCATCTACCTACAGCCCATCCCCGGGGGCCAATTATAGTCCAGCTCCCTACACCCCCTCACCTGCCCCTGCCTACACCCCCTCGCCTGCCCCCACCTACTCCCCTTCTCCGGCACCAGCCTATACCCCCTCGCCAGCCCCAAGCTATAACCCTGCACCCTCAGCGGCCTACAGTGGGGGCCCTGTGGAGTCTGCCAGCCGCCCCCCTTGGGTGACAGATGACAGCTTCTCTCAGAAGTTTGCCCCTGGCAAGAGTACCACCTCCATCAGCAAGCAGACCCTGCCCCGAGGGACCCCTGCCTACACCCCGACAGGGCCCCAGGGGTCTCCCCTGGCCAGGGGCATCGTTCAGCGGGCTGAGCGTTTCCCAGCCAGCAGCAGGACTCCGCTCTGTGGCCACTGCAGCAACGTCATCAGGTATGGTCTGAGCTGGGGCGCTGGGAGAGCAGGGGTGTGGGGTTCTTGTGCACTGTCTGAACCCTGTGGTAGGGCATGGGAGGTGAGAGGAAGGGCAAAAGTAGGGAGAAGGCTCCCTGCTGGGCAGCCTCGGGCTCCTCTGGCTTGCCACCTAGTCTGACCCTCTTTGAGCTTTGGCTTCCATACCTGTGGGACACCCACTTCTCCGGGAGTCGGGAGAGTTCCATGAAGTAAGTGGGTGAAGCTCCCAGCACGGTGCCTGGTGCCAGGACCTCCCCCTCGGGCTAAGGCCGGGTTCTGGGAATCATAGGTCTTGTTGTCAGGTTTACTGGGCATGTTGCAAGCCGGCTGACAGTGCTAGTTTTGACCCAGCTTTCCTTTAGGGTTCTTTCTGGGTCTTTCCACAGACAGGCCAGTGTTGCTCAGGGCTTTGGTGGGCATCTGCCACCCTAAAAGGAAAACAAGTCATTTCACAGACGTAGGTGACACTTGTTTGGACATAGTATGTTTATAGGATGTGTGTGTTAGGGAGGAGGGCATATGTATGTGATAAATACACTTTTACTTAAAAATAAGGTAACACATGCTCATTAAAGAATAATTAGAGAGTTCCAAAAAGTAAAAATGAACATGTACCACATTTCCTCGTAGTCCCACTGCTCTGACCGCTAATCTGGATCTGGGCTACCCAGGCGGTACTAGCCCTGTGGCCTTGAACAACTTACTTTACCTCTCTGTGCCTCAGTTTCCTTATCTGAAAGCAGGTACCATAATCCTACTTCTTAGGATTGTTGTAAGCGCGAACCAAGTTAATCCGTGCACATTTCTTCTTAAACAGTGCTGGGCACAGAGGACGCACTCAGTAAAGGCCAGCCATTGGCATGGTCATCTTGGCTCTTCTTGTTACAATATTCTATAATACACTTCCCTCGTCCCCTACCTGGAGATATTTGAGTTGCTTCCCTGTTGTTGATGAAACAATGAATATCTTTTTGCATAGAGCTTTATCTGAATTTCACATCAGTTCGTTAGAACAGTTACAGAAGTCAGGGTTATTGGGTCAAAGTATGAAGAGTTTTGGGTGTCCTGAAATATCTGGTCTTGAGCTTTTGGGGCTGCCTTAATAGGTGCCATTCTCTGCTTCCCCAGGGGCCCCTTTCTGGTAGCCATGGGCCGTTCCTGGCACCCGGAAGAGTTCAACTGTGCCTACTGCAAGACCTCCCTGGCCGACATGTGCTTTGTGGAGGAGCAGAACAATGTGTACTGTGAGCGCTGTTACGAGCAGTTCTTTGCCCCAATCTGTGCCAAGTGCAACACCAAAATCATGGGGGTAAGTGGGCAGCATCCCTCTCCTCTGACTCTTGTCTTTTCACAATCTTTCTCCCTCCCCAAGGTTGTGGGGGCCTGTTAGGAAGCCAAGAAGTGGCTGCTAACAGAGAGAGAACAACTTTCCATCCTACAAGGGAGTTGGTTTGCCACCAATGAGCTAGGGAGCGAAGGAACATGGAGGGAGAGATGATGACTTGCCTCAGCCACATGGCTCAAAGTGTTGGTGGAGCTTCTGCAAAGCCAGTTATTGCTTCATAGACTGACCTCGCCACGCGCCCACATGTGGCCTTGACCCCTCCATGCTCCTTTGGTAAAGCAGCAGTAATAAGCAATACCCCCCCCCCAGCTTTGAGGGGAGGGTTCAGAATCACAGCTAATGTAACCACCTCTCCGATGATTTTGACAGAGAACCTGGCACCCAGCAGGTGCTACATGAGTGTGAACTCCTCTGTCACCCCTGGGCCTTTCCTCAGCACGTCCAAGACCCACCTCCTGGGCTCTCCTGCCCTGTTCCCTGTTGGGATGCTCCGGCAGTAGCCAGGGCCTGGTGAGGAAGAGGGGGCCCAGCTTCCTCTCTCCCCTGAACCTCTTGGCCTGAGCGGAGGCTCTTTCCCCCCAGGAAGTGATGCATGCCCTGAGACAGACATGGCACACCACCTGCTTCGTCTGCGCAGCTTGCAAAAAGCCCTTTGGGAACAGCCTCTTCCACATGGAAGATGGGGAGCCCTACTGCGAGAAAGGTAGGACCGCTATGCTGTGGGGAGGCCCCAGAGTCCTGGAGAAAGGAGCAGGTACAGGAAGCTCCTGCCCGTGTCCATTCACATGGAACCATCAGGAGGCTCCAAATGGCAGAATCATGCTTTCCTGGGGTGGGGGCTGGGTCTATGGCTTTTTTTTTTTTTTTAACACATTCGACCTCAGTTCCCTTCCCTGCACCACATATGTGGATCACAGGTTGGCATCTTGTAACCACTTGGGAAACCTTTCAGATGATTATGATCTGGAATCTGAAAAGGCTTTGGCTTTGGACTTTCTCTTAGGTTCTGTTCCAGGCTCCACCTCGGGCTGGCTTTGTAACCCCGAGTGAGTTATTAAACTTCTCTGAGCCTCACTTCCCTCATCTGTACAAAAGGGCATATAAACACCTGCCTCATGAGTTGTGAGGATTAACCAGAGAAAGTGTGTAAAGCACCAAACATGTGAAAGTCCCTTTCCCTGCTCCTCTGATGTTCCTTCAGAGTCCTGTAACCACCCCCAGCTGAATTCAGAGTTTCTCTCTTCCCCCAAATGCTGTTTTACCTTAAAACTTGGAGTAAATTATACATTTTGAAGACAAAGCACTCTGTTAGAGAATCAGGTGTCCTGGCTAATTAGCCACTTCCTCACTCATTTATTCATAGACTGCCTCTTCTTTCTTTTTTTTTTTAAGATTTATTTATTTATTTTAGAGAGAGAGAGCATCGATGAGTGGGGAGAGGGGCAGAGGAAGAGGGGGAGAGAGAGAGAGAGAAGCAGACTCCCTGGCAGAGCCAGCCAAAATCGAGAGTCAGGGGCGCCTGGGTAGCTCAGATGGTTAAGCATCTGCCTTTGGCTCAGGTCATGATCCCAGGGTCCTGGGATCGAGCCCCACGTCAAACTCCCTGCTCAGTGGGGAGGCTGTTTCTCCCTCTCCCACTCCCCCTGCTTGTGCTCTCTCACTTTCTGTCAAATAAAAAAATAAAATCTTTAAAAAAAAAATCAAGAGTCAGACGCTCAACTGACTGAGCCACCCAGGCACTCCCATAGACTGCCTTTTTCAGAAAAGGATTTGAGGGAGGGTCCAACAAAGTTACCATAGACGCGAAGGTTAAGACAATAGAACTAGAAAATCAGCACCAAGTAGAAGAGGGAAAAGCAAGCAGGCTGATTATGAAGAATAACAGAGCAACAGTGACTGGGCAGCAAATCTGTGGGCAAAAAGAGAAACACAGTAAGTTAGTTTACTTTAAAATCAGAAAGGAGAAAACATTCCAGTTCCTCCAGGGGAAAAGCAAAGCAAACAAAAACTATTCTCCCCTGACAACAAATTATAAAAGAAAAATTTCTTGCGTTCTTATATACGGGTGAGATGTCTTCCCAGCTCTTATTAATTGAATGACTTAGTTACTCAGTCACTCCGTGCCTCAGTTTCCATATCTTTTAAAAGGAAGAAGATAAGCATCTCTTTTCCCTTCTTGTGAGTGTATGGTGATAATTGTTAGATAATTAGCAGATAATTGATAGATGTGTGTTCATGCCAATACAAATTGCTATTGTTGGGGCACCTGGGTGGCTCAGTCAATTAAACATCTGACTCTTGGTTTCAGCTCAGGTCATGATCTCAGGGTCATGAGATGGAGTCCCGTGTCAGGCTCCACGCTTGGTGCAGAGTCTGCTTGAGATTCTCTCTCTCCTTCTCCCTCTGCCCCTCCCCCTGCTCATGCTCTCTAAATAAATAAATAAATAAATGAATAAATGAATAAATAAATAAATAAATAAAATCTTAAAACACACACAACAAAAACAAATTGCTATTATTAATTGACTAAAAGCATTACAATTTCTATAATTTGTGTCTGAGGCTTGAAAAGTCCTCAGTACCCCCCCCCCAAATCTGATGGACATTTAGGTTGCTTCTGCTTCTTGGCTATTGTGAATACTGCTGCTATGAACATGGGCGTGCAAATGTCTAAAAGACCCTGTTTGTAGTTCTTTGGGGGTATATGCCCAGCGGTAGGGTTGCTGGGTCATATGGTATTTCTATTTTTGAGGTTTCCACTATTCTGATAATGGCATTGCACCATTTTACAATTCCACCAGCAGAGCACAGGGTTTCAAATTCACTACATCTTTGCCTACACTTGCTATTTTGCTGGGTTTTTTATAGCAGCCCACTTAATGAGGGTGAGGTGGTATCTCATTGTCGTACCTTGTCATCATTTTTATCAACAACTTGGAAGAAGACACAGAAGGGAGAGTGTCAGAATACCACGATCTAGACTCCAAAAGATTTCGTCAGCTGCCATCGCGAGCTGACACTTTTACATAGGATCATCTTGCGCCTAAGTAAGAGAGCTAGGAGGGCCTGCCCCCGAGCAGTGCCCAGACCTGATGGGGCATCATGATCACCTGGGAAACTTTAAAGATATAGAAGATCAATTCCCAGATGTACAGATGCAGAATTTTATCACCCTACCCCCACCCATATGATTCTATATTCAGTTAAGTTTGAGAATCGAGGTATGATCCAAAGACCAGCAATATCAGGATTACAGAAATGCAGATCTTTGGGCCCCACCCCATAGATCTGCTGAATCAGAAACTCTGAGGGGTGGGGCCCAGCAATCTGTGTTTAGCGACCCCTTGAGATGATTCTAACGTTTGAGAACCACTGTTCTCGGAAAGCACTAAGCCCTTTTGCAACAGAGAGCACCTGTGATTTGATGGATGGAAATCCTTTTACAATAGCAATAAAATCCATTAAATACAGGGTACAAATTCAACTTGGGGCATAAGAGAGTCAAAGAAAATTATAAAGACCTAATAGGAGAAGTAAAGTAAGAAATAAATACATGAGGAACTAGATTATATTCATGGTGGGAAAGGCCCAAGCACAAACTTAATTCCAATCATATTCTCTCTCTCTCTCTCTCTCTTTTTTTTTGATAAATGATGAAATATGTGAACTTAAAAAAAAAATGTATTAGGGTCAAGACCGGTGCTACCAAATTTTAAAACAAAGTGGCAGTTCTCCAGATCATACAGAATCAAGTATAAAACAGAAAAACCAATCGGCAGGCCAGACTAGATGTTCAATTGTAAGAGCTTAATGTTAGTCTGCCCAGTGAGAGAAGGAAAATTACTGTTTAGTGAGGTTTTCCAAACGATTTCTTTGTTTGTCCCTTCATCCTTCATCCATCAAATGTGTGCCGGTTCCTGTGAGAGACACGGAGCATTAGGAGTGGGTCTCTGCCTTCAAAAACCTCAAGCAGACGCATCATCCTGTGATACGCCAGCACATCAATGGATAGTCAAGAGATGATTGAATGAATGAATGAATGAATGAATGGAGGGAGGGGAAGCCCAAAAGAAGCCGTTGGGAAGGCCATCTCATCTCTCTCGGTTGGGTGGAAGATGAGGTCTTCCCAGGAGGAAGGCCTGGCCCACAGCATTGCAGAGATCCTGGTAGACAAAGTGGGGAGGGTTTTCCAAGCCCAGGACCTGGTTCATACACAGGTATGAGGTAGACGAGAGAGTCCAGGGCATCTGGAGACTGGGAGTAATGAGAGAGGAGTCAGAAGTGGGGTACAGGGCTTGCCCTCCCGTGGAGATGGGGTAGCCTATGGCCCTGTTTCTCACCCACACTAGTTCCTACAGAGCATGGAGTGAACCGTAAATCCACTCTAACTTTGTAAAGGAAGCAGAATGATGTTTTTAGTTCTGGTGAGAAATGAAGTATTCCATCAGAGACAGGCCTCATAGACCGTGACATATAGAACAGCATTTGCATGACAAACCATAAGTAAACACAAAAGGGGAAACCGTACATTGGAAAATATATGCAAGAGATATAACTTATCAAAGCTCAATGGCAAATAGATAACCAGAGACCACGTGAAGTCATGGAAAGAGGATGAACTTTGGAGTCCACTGAGGCAGGCTCCTTACTGCCGGTGTGATAGAACCTCGGCAGCCAGTTTCCTCGTCTTTAAAATGGGAATAATATTTCTTCCTACAGCTGCTGTGAAGATTACCCAGGAAACTTAGAAAAGCACTAGTATTGGACTGGTGCCGAGTAGGCACTGGAATCACGTTTCCTTCTCTCCTTCCATCCTTTATAAAGACATTCACAATAAGAGCCAAGATTTTTGAGTATCTGTGCCAAGTACGTTCACGTACGTTATCTTATTGAATCTGTACAACAACCCCACGACTTAGGTACTGTAGTTACTCCCATTCTACAGATAAGAAACCGGAGACGCTGAGAAGTTAGGTGACTTGCCCCAAGTAGGAACAATTCTCGAACAGAGCTAGGACTTGAGCTCAGTGCTTTTGTTCTTCAGAACCCAAGTCCATAACCCCCCATGGCACGCTGCTTCTTAGCATGTGGTCTAAGATGGAGAACAGGCGTGCTGTCCACAAGGATATCTGAGCAGAAACATGGAAGGTGTGAGGAGAAGCCCACTGTGGCAGAGCTGTGGAGAGACCAGTACACTTCTAGGGGAATGAAGGCTTTGTAAGAGGCATCAAACTTCTCTGAAAGAATCTGGAAGAGTTCTACACTGAGTACAGTAGAACTGCTTGTCCCTGAGGCCCAGGGAAGACAGCTCCTGAGTTGGAGTTGGGACCCAGACCACTCAGCTGTGTGTCTCAGCTGTATGACTCTGGCGAGCCTTGGCTTCCTAATCCACAAGATAAAATAAAACAGAAAAATAATTATAGTTCAATCTCTGAGGGATTTTTTTGAAGATTAAGTTCATTCATTGATTTATTGATTCACTGATTCATCCATTCCGTTATTCATTCTGCACATATGTGTTGGGTATTGACTTGTGTCCCAGGCACTGTGTCGAGGGTGGAAAGAAAACAGTACATACTAATCCACAGATCATGACATTGAGATTCTAGTAAAGAATACCATCTATGCGAGAATGCTTGGTGAACTGTAAAGCATTATACAAACAATACATGGTATTATTATCTCTTCGGTGAGGCAGGGAGGGGGACAAGTCTTAACATAGTAGCTCAAATATTGTTTCTAGTAGTGAAACTTTGTTATGAACACAAATGCCCAATGACAGAAGAATTGCCAAGCAAAGAACGTACTGTAGTACTCCTAAAAACATTAAGGGGTCTCCTTCTTCCAAACTAAGCATAGCAATTGGGAAATGTGATTTTTTTTTTCTTTTTTGGGATTGGTCTGTTTGGGCTATAAAGGGTGATAGAGGCAGAAGAGAAAATCACCCTGTAGAAAGAAAGTTAATGACAGATCTGGAAAGTGTTTGTAAATTAAACCAGTACAGAGTGGTAACTAAGCCTGAATCCATACAACACCAGTGCAAATTACTGAAAAGAAAAAAACACAATCATATAACTGAGCATTTTGTCTGCAAGATGAGAAGTAACCAGTTAGGTCATACCCACTGCCCCAGCTCCGTGATTTGCGGTGTGGTGTCATTGTTGTGGCATTGTGTCAGTGTGTCCAGGATGCTTCTCCCAGCCTGCCTGGATGCCTGGTCCTCACTCTGCCTTTCATTTCAGACTACGTCAATCTGTTCAGCACCAAGTGTCATGGCTGCGATTTCCCCGTGGAGGCTGGGGACAAGTTTATCGAAGCCCTGGGACACACCTGGCATGACACCTGCTTCATCTGCGCAGTATGTTTTTAGCACGGCTGGGGGTTCTGACTTTCTGAGAAGGGGCAAGAGGGACCTAGTGGGGCCAGGTGATCAACCCTCTACATCCCTTTTAACACTGGCCCACTGATATGCTGATCATTTTTATTCATTTTTTTATTTTTTTAAGATTTTATTTATTTATTTGAGAGAGAGAGCACATGAGAGGGGGAAGGGTCAGAGGGAGAAGCAGACTCCCTGCCGAGCAGGGAGCCCGATGTGGGACTCGATCCAGGGACTCCAGGATCATGACCTGAGCCGAAGGCAGTTGCCCAACTAACTGAGCCACCCAGGCGCCCTATGCTGATCATTTTTAAAAGCTGCCAAGTACCATGATGCTGGATATGTCACAGTCAAGCAAAGTTTATTACTAATAATTACTTCTAAACCAAAGTGGCTTTGTTACTCTCCATTTCATTAAGGAAACGTCAAACCAGCAGCTTGTCTCACCAGGAATGCTCTGAGTAGTTGGGAGCAGCGAATGATGGTTCGGTTAGAATAAAGAAGGATGGTTTCCTATGATTATAAGTTGCTTTAGATATGATGAAGTGATTCAAGGGTTTCCCCCCAAATTTTCACCATGAAACACTAGATTGGAGCTTGTTGACCCATTCTATGAAAAGCTGAGATAAGGTTTCTTTTGAGAGAACTTTTAGGAATCGGGGCTGAGTATCATTTTATTTTCCTAAATGGTCTTGCTCCTGATATGTAGTTGCCAGGAGATAAGCCCTAGATGACCTGTTAACCATGTGCCATCTATTTCTCCTGAACAGCCAGGTCATTTTTCCCATGAGATTGGCATTTTCCTTTTGAGGGCTTTGGGTTGGGTGCAGGGTGGCGCAGACACAGCAATGAGCTCACTGACATTAGGACTCTGCCTTACATTTAGGAAATATTCATCCCTGAGAAAGGCCTGTGATGTGAGTCTGCAACTGACTGAACTTTATTTGGGAAAATTAATGTGCCACTACTGTGTTTGTTTTGTTTTGTTTTGTTTTATCAGAGCTGCTCAAGGTAAAGTGTGGCCATGTATCAAATATCCATGCACTTTAAACTTGAACTATTTTTATAGGCTTATGATATAGGACAACCCTCATCATAAAGGTTACTGCAATGCACCTCAGTGTCTATACCACATCTGCACTCCACCATGCGTGAGGTGCACTGTGTTGACTTTGAGTGTGAGTTTGCTAGGCCTGCTGTAACAATGTACCAAAATCCGATGGCTTCAAAAACTGAAATGGACTCTCTCATAGTTCTGGAGGCTAGACGTCTGAATTTAAGATGTCGGCAGGGCTGTGCGCTCTCCCCTAGCTTTTGGTGGTTTCCAGCAGTCTTTGGTGTTTCTTGAATCACAGCTGCAGAACTTCAGTCTAGGGCTCCATGGTCCCATTGCATCCTTCCCTCTGTGTGTGTGAGTCTTTGCATGGCTTTCTCTGCTGTGTGTGTCTGTCTCTATATGCTTCTCCTTTTCTTATAAGGATACTGGTCCTACTGGATTAATAGCCCGTCTTACTCCAGTATGACCTCATCTTAATTTACATCTTAATTATATCTGCAAAGATCCTGCTTCCAAATAAGGTCACCGGTGTGTCCCTGCCCCGAGTAGATTGAAGGTACTGGGAGTAAGGACTTCAGCATATGAATTTGGGGGAGGAAACAACACAATTCAATCTAAACACTCTGATTTTCCAGCTTTTGGAATAGATTTTCTAATTGCCTTTTAGGGTCCTTTAAATACATCAGGTCCTCCCCTCTGAAAACGGACAACAATGTGAATATACTGGCTTTCTGGTTGTCCCCTAAAGAGCCATGACTCAGCAAGGCACATAGGGCCCTCTGACCCCAACATTCAAGTCATGGCTTGTTTGATCCTAAGACACTGCCTGCAAGTCTGGTTGCCCAACTTCTAGAAGGATCCAAGAGACTTGGAGAAGGTCCAGGGCAGACTGTGACACAGAAGGCCTGTTCTCTCAGGGCAGGCTGATGAGAGGTCTGTGTCACATGGAGAGGGTACCATGGAAAAGGTGAGCATGGGTCTGCTCCCTTGAGCCCACTGAGTTTGGCTGAGAATCACAGTGGCACAACTCCCAGAGAGAGACCAGAAGAAGCAGTAAAGCATAGGGTTGTTCAGGCCAAGATTACAGATAAGTTCTGGCAAGGTGTGAGAGACCCATAGCACTGCAGAAGGATCCATCTAAAGAAGCCAGGCAGATCCTGTCCTTTGGAGAATCAGTGTGGTGAATGAATCATTACATTTTCCTCCTAAGTGGCCCTGTGTGGCACTCACTGCCCTGTTAAGATATAGCAAAGTGGAACATGGTTTTGGTTTTAATTTTTGGAAAGCAATCTTTTGATTGGAAAACTGTGAGGGTTTTTTTGGGGGGGGGGTGAGGGGAATCCTTTTCCATCACTTTATATTTCTAAATCATCTTTGATGAGCATATATTTTCTTATAATTAAAAAATTAATAAGAAAGAAAGATCAGACCTAGCTCTCCCAGCTGATAAGCTGTTTTCCCACCAGTTAGATCTCAGGAGAGCACATAACTTTAGACTAATTCAATTTAGCAAATATTGCTTGAGTTTGGGGAACACAAGAGTATTCCCGAACAAAGCTCCACCTTCAGGGAGTTTGGAATCTTGAAAGAAAACAAAGTTGACATATACAAGCAATTAAAGAATAGAACAAGACAGCCTCTCTAAAGTCCCAAGCATATAAAATGATGGCTGAGATGGGGCCCCTGGGTGGCTCGGATGGTTAAACATCCAGCTCTTGATTTCAGCTCAGGTCATGATCTCAGGGTCATGAGATGAAGCCCCACATCGGGCTCTGTGCTGAGTGTGGAGTCTGCTTAAGATTCTCTCTTCTTCTCCCTCAGCACCCCCTGCTTGTGCTCTCTCTCTCTCTCTCTCAATAAAAAATAATAAGAAATATTAAAAAAAATAAAATGATGGATAAGAAGGGCTATGTGGGTTGGGGTAAGGGGTTAAGCTCCTGTCTGGGGGCTGGGGTGAGGGGTTAAGCTTCTATCTGGCTTCAGCACTTGAGTTCCAATGGAAAGGATATGGAGCCTATCTTTAATGGGATAGAGATGACTTACTGTGGCCCCTCTTTTCCTCTAAGTCTTGTTGGGTCTCTAGCCCTTCCCCACTGGTGGGGGAGGGGAGGGCAGCAGTCCTAGGGGCTGCCACAGCTGGCCTACGTCATTGCCTTCCAGCACTGTCCATGACCACTACTCCTTCCCACCCAGGCCCTGATGCCACTTGACCATGCAACCTGGGGCTTGAACCGTCCCCGCTATGCCATTCCGCTGAGTAGTCTGGAGGCCTCACCAGGAAGCCACCGTGCATCCCACACAGAGTCTCCTAGCCCAGGACACTGAGCAAGACCTTTTTATGATATTTTCTGCCCTCAGCTCCATCTTATCAATGAGCTGCCCCTAGGCTCTGGCCTGTCCTCACTTCTGGGTCTTTAGTCTCCCAACACACTGTCCAACTTATCCCAAAGTTCTCACAAGTAACCAGCACTGTCCTAGACTAGGCAGGGTCTCCCAGTCAGAGCCTCAGATGTTGACAGGCAGCTCCTTGACAACTTACTCCAGAGCTGCCTTTCTATCTCCCATGAAACCCATCCTCACTGTTGGATCTTATGGGCTTATCCCCATGTCTTCACCAGCGGCTTGAGGCCACCCCAAGAGCCTCTCAACATTACTGCCCCCCACCTGGATGTTTTCAGTCCCTTTTTTAGGTCGTTGGTTTCCAGGGCCCATTGTCAGCCCTGTGTGATCGCAAGTATAACATTCTCAGTTGGGCCATGAGGTACTTGCACGTGGGACCACTGTGATGCCACTTTTCTTTCCAACTGTCTTGGAGTGGTCACATGCTCACTGAGCTAAGCTCATCTCAAGAGGATGATTTCTCTATCCTCATGCCTTCTGTATGTGGGAACTCTCCCTGCTGTCCTCCTCCTCCTTCTTTAGTGGGGGACAGGCAGAGGGAGAGGGAGAGAGAGATTCTTAAGCAGGCTCCACTCCCAGCATGGGGCTTGATCTCACGACCCTGAGATCATGACCTGAGCTGAAATCAAGAGTCGGATGCTTAACTGAGCCACCCAGCCACCCCTACCTACACTTCTTCTGATGTCAGTGTCCTGGATGTGGTCCCTACTTCTGCTCCCTGTTTGATATGTTCAGTGCCCTCCATGAACCTGGGGCTCATCTCAGCCTATGTGACTTCCCAGCTGACTCTGACACATTGGCATACTGCCCACCCAGGGCCAGCCTACATACTGGTAGTCCAACAAACTTGGAGGGCTACCTCAATACAAGTCCCGTAAGCCCAGAACAATTTCAAGTAAGCCTAGCCCCCCTCTGTGGTGGGGTATGGGGAAGATGAGCTAGACCTAGGGTCTTGCAGACCTGGACACCGAGTCCCAGCTCCACAATTTGCTAGGTCTGTGACTTAAGTGGGACGCTTGGCTCTATGAGCCACAGTTGTTCCCTTGTGAAATGGGGAAAAATCATACCTTCCCATAAGTTTTTGTGAGAATTAAATGAGATCATGTATATAGAGTGGCCTCCTGCTTGACCCATAGTAGCCTCAACATATATCACTTAGCTTTCTTCTTTCTGTGACGTCTCCATTTTCAAACTGCACTCATATTTTGTCATCATGGGGCTATATAATTTTGCCTCTATTTCTTTTATATACTATCTCCCTGCATACACTTTTCCATATTTGATTGATCTTTTTCCTGGTGGCATTCCATTGGAAAATGTACTGTAAGAATCTACTTGGTCATCTCCCCATAGAGAGACATTTTAGTGGTTTTCAGTTTTCACTTGGGCACACGTTGTTCCGTGCAATCGTTTCTGCAAGATAAACTCCTCCTGAGTGGTACTGGGCAGACACATCTTTACAGCTCCTCTTCAGTGTTGCCACATCCCTACAGAAGACTGAGCTGATTCACCGAGTGGTGTCCCTAGCAGTGCACAAGTAGGCCTGATTCCCTTTTGGCATTGTTGACTGTTGACTGATACTTTTTTTTTTTTTTTTTTTGCTTTTGCTTTTTGGCTATAGTCTTCTAAGGTTAAAGGTACAAGCGATTGAGGGGTTTTGTTGTTGTTGTTGTTGTTGTTGTTAGATTAATAGATACTTAGGGGTCTCTCACAGAGGTTTTAATTTATTTTTCCTTTAATTATTAGTGAGGATAATCTTTTCTGATGTGTTTGTTAGTTTACTAATGGTATTTTCTTGGATGTTAATCACCCCCATGGCTATTGACTCATGATTTTGTTCTGGTGTCTTGTAAACTTTGGACAGCATCCATCGATCATCTTCATCTTGTATATTTTTTTGTGTTCCATTTCATTAATTTGAGTTTAGTTCTGTATTCCTCTTTGGAAGTCTTAAATGTTACGTAGTTTGATTGTCTACTCTGCTTATGTCATTAGGAATTTGTAGCGGGGAGAGCTAGGCCCACCTCATGCCTGTCTGTCCTCTGTCCCAGGTGTGCCACGTGAATCTGGAGGGGCAGCCATTCTACTCCAAGAAGGACAAACCCCTGTGCAAGAAGCACGCACACGCCATCAACGTGTAGGGAGCCCAGAGCGTCTGATGAGGACAGGCCGGGAGCTGCTCCTGCCGCTGACAATAAAGGATTCAAGGAGGCTGACGTTTCTTTTTGGGGGAAAGGGGGAAGACAGGAAGCTACTGAGCCCTTTTGAAGTATAATTTTAGTCCTTCCTTCTGCACACAGATCGTGTATTTGCATAGTTCAGACTAGAAGCCAAATGAAGATTCCTCAACCAAGCTAGTAACTAATCCAAGGCTGGAGTGGTAATTCAGATGCTCAGGACAGAGTACCAAGAACTCCAGAGTGGAAAACAAAAAAGTCATTTTCTCGAAGCGATACCCTTCCCTGAGGTCACCAGAGCAGGGACAGAGCTCAGAGCGGTTATGGAGAATCTGGAGTATGTGTTGGAGTACTCTAGAGCTCCTCTGGCAAACAGCACGAAGTGCTCAACAGTACTTGCTGTGGGGTATTTTTAGAGCCATAGCTGAGGGCTTGTTAGCTGAGACCAATTGGGCTTTCCTCACCAAAAAAGGAAGTGTTATTCCATTGCTAATGTCATGGAGCTACCTCTGCACATCAAACTTCAGACCTTCAACAGAGTTGAGCGTTCTGAGGGAGTCCAGGCGTCTAGAAGGTGTCTTCTAGGAGCTGCGGGGCAGTTGACAGGGATTTAGGAAGGGCTCTGGCTCATGCTGCAGACATCTCTGGCTCACATCTAAGACATCTATGTCCCCAGAAGGTTTAGCTCCTTTTGAATTGTGATGGGAAAGTGGAATTGGGTTTTTCCAGTTTTGCTTTGCTGTGTGTGAGAGGAGATTTAAAGTGACTCTGGGTTGCGTCTAGCCTTTGTTTTGCTTTATCAAGTTCATGAGCATGAATGTCCCGGTCTTGTGCATGTATTTCGCTCCCAGTCCTGTGACTTGCTCTCTTATGAAGTCTTCCTCAGCGCCCCTTCCCCCAACAGGCATAATGACCTGTGGACAAGAAGAGAGAGATGGTGTCTGAAACAGGATGGCAGGATAGGCTGAGAACATGCCCAAACTCTGCATGGAGAGAGGAGCCTTACTTTCTGCCAGCCTCAGTAAAAATGCCAGTGTTGGCAGTACCTCCCACCTCGGATCTGCACCATCCTTCTCAAGTGTTGCTTTCAGTGCCACACACTGATTATGTGCAGGGATGTCGGCCGTTGGGAGAAGAAGAGGGACTGATAATGTACTCATTTGCCATTCGGGCCCATAGTTTGAAAATATATGAGCCAAGTTGATCTAGAACTTATTTAAGTATTTATTGAAATAGACTTGGGTCTTCAAACTTCTTTAAAACATTAGTTATAGTTTGGATTAAGTACGCATTTTAAAGCTGTTTGGTGATGAAGAGAGCAGCTTAGTTTCTGAGGCTGGAAATGGTACATTCTCTTTCCCTTCAGGAAGCACTGTTATTATGCTCATTGAACAAGGCATGGAAGCAGGCCGTCTGAGGGGGTGTTTCTCACTTGAACACAATAGTCAGGAACTCTTCCAACTCACTGCTACTCTCTCCTCACTCCTGTTTTGGATTTTTCTCTTTGCATGTTTTATGAGAATGCATTAGAACATTTTCTTCTTCTGAGAACTGAGGCTTCCAGGGGACTGCCTTTCTACCTGAGTGTGTCCCTTCTCCTTGAGGGAGAAAGAAGCAGCAGGATGCGCCCCTAGCAGGAGGCCCGTGCTTTTTTTCCAAAGGTGAAGCCATGTTCCCGAGGGAGCACCAGGAGGGACATAATTGTGCTCCTACCACGGGGCCCTTCTTTACCTGTGGTGCAGTAAGAAAGTGAATCTAAAGTACCAGGCAGTAAAATCTGCTGGGAGTGGCTAGAGATTTTTCAGGAGTTGCAAACAAGTACCTTGGAGCATTCTGTTATTTTTGGAAAGTTCAAATATACAGGGATAAGAAGGTTGCTGACTGTACAGAAAAGCTCTAGGCAGGTTTTCTCTTAAAGCAAAAACGAAAACAAGAACACATTTTTAGGGACTGGTCTCGAGGAAAGGAAAAACAGTTCCCAAGAGTTGTTTCTGAAAATATCTTTTAAAAGAGTTTATGCACACACGGACACACGCATGCCCGTGCGACCATTAAAAAAGTACATGATAATTAAAAAGAAAAGTGAAGCATCTCAAAGAAGAACTTCATCATGGTCATTTACTGAATCGGTTTTTCTACATCTCAGAGAGAGTGAGTGTCGATTCTGAGGGACTCTTTTATTTACCGAAACCCAAAACGAACAAAAAACTATTTTAAAGGTAGAAGGAGAAGAAGGTAGTTTTGAATATGGGGTTCCCTCAGTGTTTGCAAGTTTGGCGTAGCTTTGGGGTTAAGGTTGTATCTATCTCAACATCAGGGATGTCCTAGGACACCAAACAATTTCTAATAGTTCCTAGTGGGGAGCACACTTCAGATCTGCCATTCTTGTCTCCTCATTTAACACTTACAAACATTAACTTTTTGCAACAGAGTGATTTGTGTCTGCAGTGTTTGTGTTAGGAATCTAGCTTTTATAATGTTAGCTTTTCAACCCAGGTACTCTTGCTTTGGGATTTTTTTTTTTTTTAATTTTAAGATTTCAAAAGTGGAAAGTAGTGCGGTAGAGGTGTGCACAAAAATATTTTGCATGTTTGTTTTTTTGGGGGTTTTCTTTGGCCTGTGTGAATTCTACTTTTTAGCACAATAAAACCTAAAACAGGATGTGCAAATGCTGATTTTTCTGTGTAAAGTTTTTTTCACATGACACCAAAAGTAAATTATTTCTAAATGGCTGCAAAAAAAAAGTTTGCGGCAAAACGAAATGTCCTACAGAGAAGAAACATATAACTCACTTGCTCTGTTTGTTGGCTGTGTGGCCCAACAGCAGTTTAATTGCCTTGTTTAAACAGACAAGGATATGTGAATAATACAAATGTTTTGCATACAAAGGGAATTTACTGGGTAAATAATAAAGTGAAGACCGGGCTTTGCCTTTTCTTTATGGAAAGGTTTATTTATTTCGCTACTAGGTGATTAAGTATTTCAGATTTATTTATTTTTATTCTGTTCTAAATGGCTTCATTTCTAGAAAATTTTCTTCCATGTCTTTTGTTTTGAAATAAGCTCAGAGAAAAACTCTTTCATGGCACTTTTTTTTCTTTTTTAATAAGGAAGACCTTTCTGAGGATACTATGCTTAACAAACCCAATTCACTCTGTTTTTGTTTTGTTTTTTGAAGATTTTATTTATTTATTTGCCAGAGAGAGAGAGGAAGAGCACAAGCAGGGGGAGTGGCAGGCAGAGGGAGAAGCAGGCTCCCCGCTGAGCAGAGACCCCCGACGCGGGACTCAATCCCAGGACCCTGGGATCATGACCTGAGCCGAAGGCAGACGCCCAACCATCTGAGCCACCCAGGCGCCCCTCAGTTCACTCTTTGTTAAGGTATTCTGTTTCCAGGCATTACTTGAAAAGAAAGAGAACATTTTCATAATTTATTTGATTTTTTTAGCACCTCAATCAGATTTTTGAAAGAGTTGTGCAATTGCAAGAAGGAATAAGATATTATTTTACCACTTTTTAAAGCTATAGCAATTTAGATGGAGAAAAAAAAAGTCTCATAGAGTCATAGAATGTAAAGTTGGAAGGAATCTAAGAAATCCCCTGGGCATTTTCCAGATGTGGGAACCAAGAAAAGGAGAAATGGCTTTCCACTTTTGCCTCGTTGCATCCGAGAGAGCAAGATGGGTCACCAGCAGCTGTACTGGAGCCATCCGAGGAAATTTGGCCAGGGTTCTCGTTCTTGCCGCGTCTGCTCAAACCGGCACGGTCTGATCCGGAAATACGGCCTCAATATGTGCCGCCAGTGTTTCCGTCAGTATGCGAAGGATATAGGCTTCATTAAGTTGGATTAAGTGAACTTCCTTGAATTGGTCATCCAAGATAACCTACGTTAACTGCAGATAACCAGGATACCTACTTTAATGTCAACTCATTGTACATAAAATAAAAAATACTCCAATTAAAAAAAAAAAAAGAAAGAAAGAAATGGCTTTCCAGTACACACGGTCAGCTGGGGAGGCAGTCGGGGGCCATGGACCGAACACGGACTTTGACGTGTTAAGATCAGAACTTAGATCAAGGCTGATCTATTATCACCAGGGTGACATTGGGGGAGTGTCTCTCATCCCTCTTGAGAGTGAAGGTAATAACACCTGCCTCACAGGCGTTTTGAGAGCTAAATGCAATAGCTTTTGTTAGAAATTACAACACAAATGTTGGTGACCATTATCACCAATGGAGTAGGGTCAGAGCCCAAGGCCCTCACTCTTCCTTCATTTTCTTAACTCCTTCAATGTGTCCATTCAGAAAAAAATGCTTTGGGAAAACCTGCAGCAAGTATAAATATTACACAAGGAGCCTGGAAATATGAAACACCTGGATCAAAATTTGGTATAATTATCTTGTACCAGAATTTCTGCCCTTTTCACAGAAGAAAAGTTGTTTATTCATTTGCTCATTCGTTCTTTCAACAGATATTTTATTGAGCACCTGCTATATGCCAGGCACTGCTCTGGACACTGGGAACATAATAGTCAATAAAACAGACAAAAACTGTTATTCCCATGGAACTTAGATTCTAGTGGTTTGGAATCAGCAAAACAAGATAGTAACTAACTTGTGTTGGATTAGTTCTGAGGACAAATATTTGACTATTTAAAGCTGCTGTACCGGTTAACCACTGGCATTCAGCTGGATTTAGGCTCATTGATGATAAAGACCTGGCATGAAGAATAGGTTCTGGATCAAATCCTAGGAAATGGTTGCATATGCTCTTCACCCTAGAGAGTCACAGTACACATACGTGAGCTGCATGAGTGCTTGGTCCCTTAATAAAGAAACTTGCTTCATTTATCAAAGCACAGAATATGGGACTCCAATTTCGAAAACACTGCCTAAAGTTTGGGTTTAGGCTTTCCTGATTCTAGCTTTCCCAGGACAATCCTGACAATGTTAAGAATTTTTCT